CTTTCTTTTTTTTTTCTTCTCTCTTTATTTATTTATTTGTCCATTTTTTTCGTTCTGTAATAAATAAAAAAAATTGATCTATCACGTATTCCTAATTACGATTTGATATTCGTATTAGTTGTATATAAAAATGAATCTTTATTAGTCAGTCATATTGTTAATATTTATTGATATTAATGTTACTTTGACGATAATTAAAATTGTCTACTTTACGTGATAGAGATATACTAATTAACAACATAATTATCTATTAAGTACCACTTATATATATATAACTGTGTATACTCGAGGTAAACTAATTATACGGTAATGAAAAAAAGGGTTGCGTCGACGAGTTTGGAAAGTTTATTAGCATTATTTTCATCGACAAAACTCCAACGACAACGACAACTACGACGATGATGACGATGACGATGACGATGACGAAAACTACGACGTCGTAGTTAAAAGAATTTAACGAGCCACTGCTCAGAAGAGAGAGACTTGTTCGTTCAAGTATTGTGTGTTGGATTTGCACGGACGGGCGACGATAAAATTTTTAACGACTCGTACTGCGTTTACGATAAGATTTCCGTCGAAGATGCTCTGTGTTTGTGTGTGTGTGTGTGTGTGAAGGAGAAATAATAATAATCGGTACCACGCTTATTTCTTAACGTTTTATAGTAATGTAAATTCTTCCTTTGTCGTGTATAGGAAGAATGAGAAAGAACCATAAAGAAATGATAGATCTAATTTCATTTTGTTTTCTAGATAATGTTTAAAGAAATATATAAAGAATTAATGAAATTATTTACAATAATTCTAAGCTGGTGTTGTTTTTTTTTTTTATAATAATATTTGATTATTTTTTTTCAAATCAATTTTTATAATTATTTACATAATAGTTATATATGGGGATGGGGTTTTTTTTCTAAAGATTTTGATCGAACAACACATAATATTGTTTCTATGTAAAATTGAAAACTTTTCAACTCACTTACGTAACACATGTGTGCAAATTTTATTAGAAAAATATAATTTTATATTTTATTAAAAGTTTTTATGTGTGTGTGTAAAAATAATTATTAACGTAATTTATTAATATAAAGATTAGATATATTTAAACATTACACATATTAAATATTACAAAAAATATTTTTATATATGAAGATTAATATAAAAGATTAATCGTCTAATACTAAAATGAAATAAAATATGAATAAGTTTATATGAATTTTTACAGTATCTAATACGACGTAACATTGTTTTAATAAACAAAGTAAAATTGAAAAAGAAATTGAATCTGTTTATATAAAATTGATACAAATTTAGATATTCATGTATTCACATTTACTTAGTATAATGTTGACGAAAGATAAGAATTTGGAAAAAGAAAGAAATAATAATTGTGGATATTTCGAGTCTACATATTTCAAAAGAATAATTATTATTCTTATATATATATATATATATATTCATATATTAGCTTACCGAAAAGAAAGAACGATCTGTGAGTACTTACTTGATATGTATTGCATACGTAACATCCTGGAAAGCTTATCTTCTTGTGGCTTCCCAAGGGAACCCACAGCAAACAAATGCTCGTATCTTTGTTTACGTCTGCTATACGAAGTTTAAAAAAAAAAAAAAATGAAAAAGAAAAAGAAGAGATGGAAGAAAAATAAAAAGATAAAATTAAGTAAAAAGAAGAAATAGGTAGAAATCCAACGTATGTTTCTCCAACGAGTGGATTTATTTTTTCATAGGTTCTCTACTTGCACGCGAGATTTCCTTCACGGTTAACGTGCTTCGAGGATAAATTTACATTTACAATTCTAGGGAAATTGCGCGCTGAAGTTGATCCTATGACCGACTATTTTCATTTTAAATAGTGGAATTATTTTTAATTTTTTTTTTTTTTTCTTTTTTTATATCTATATGAAGGCATTGATAATAAAACTGGAGGTTTTATTTTATGGAATTTGTAGAAAATTGTTATCTTTATTTTTCTTTTATCACCTTAGATTAAGTTTATTGACCAATAGTACAAAGACCTTTTTAAATCCACCAAGAGAGAGAGAGAGAGAGATAGATATGAAAAGAAACCTTTCTCTAGAAAGAGAGAAAGAGAAAAGAACAACAGAAAGAAAAATCTAAAAGATAATGCATACTCACGTAGGATATGGGAATGGGGGGGAAGGAAGGGGTATTTGGAGAGAGCTTCTTTATTCTTGCCATGAGCTTTATCACATAAGTGTATTTTCGAGTTATCGATGTCCTATATATAATTTAATCTTGTATCTTCAAAAATGATGATTCGAAAATGTTACCTGCCCATTTGCTTCTCTCCTAGCGTTTTATCTCAAATATAATAATATACTATTAGAAAAGACAAAAAAAAAAAAGAAAAAAAAAAGCACAAGATATAAAAATAAGTGTATCAAAAGAGAAAACGTAAATGGAAAATTTCAAAGAGAGAACTTTATGAGCTTTATAAAATAAAAGGAAATATTCTTTGAATAAAAGATGAACCAAATGTGGAGTAAATTTTTTTCAACGTTTAAAAATAAAGGGGAAAAACGAAAAAAAAGGATGAAACTGAAACACATAGGGTCGTCTAGTTTCGTACGGATTCTTCGTGAAAATGAAAAATACGAAAGAAAGAGAGAGAGAGAGAAAATTGAAAGAAAATAGCGATTTTGTGAGGTCGTCTCTCTTTCTACGAACGTTGAGAAGAACGAAGAGAAGAGAAGTCGTGGTGAGATCGTAAAGTTGCTCGACTACGTAGAGCACTTTTTGCGAGAGGGAAATAGAGAAAGAAAAAAGAAAGAAAAAAAAAAAGAAAAAAATACGTAAGAGAAGTGTACGGCACGAGTCTCGACGATTTTCCTTAGCCATAATACTAGTTTCTTCGAGAAACGAGCAGCCAACCTACGGATAACCACGTCTCGACCGTAAGACGACCTATCCGTGCTCTTTTCTACCTAACCAACGTCTCATCTCATCTTTTTTTTTTTTTTTTCTTTTTTTATTTCTTTTGAATTCCTTTTTCTCTCTTTTTTACCCGGTTTTTACCCCCCTTTTCTCCTTTTATTCATCGCCAAGATACAGTTAGCGACTTTAATTCTTTTTTTTTTTTTGGCACTCGATAAAAGAGTGTTAATTACGCTCTGATAATATCGCGAGCACGTTTTCGACGTCATTCGTAAGAAGTATTACATATAATGCGAGTACAATTTTCACAAAATTTATTTATTATTTTAATACTTTGTACTATAATTATTTCCTTTCTCTCATTTTCTCTCTCTCTCTCTATCTCTATGATTTGATGTTTGTTTTATTGTTTTAGTTTTGACGTATAATACATTTCAAATTATTTAATTATATACAATTGTCGAAAATTTATAACATATTTTCACAATCAATCTGTAATTTTATATATGTATACTTTAATTTAATATAATACCTCGTATGATAATTATTTTTGTATTTTATTCTCGGCTAATTGTAATTAAATTTTCTGTTTAGTTTTTCTATCTCTCACACGAATAATACATATCTTTTAAAAGTTATTTTTATCATACAATTATTTTTTCCATATATTTCTGATATTAAATAAATGAAACGTCATGTCAGAGGTGAGTCTAAAGAGTTTTAGAAATAAAATATAGTATGTATTCTGAGGTCATAGTAGAAAAGGTTAAACATATTATTATCATCTACATTTTTATGACGTCTAAAAAAAAAAAAATTAAAGGATTAACATAACTATATCCAAACCAATTCATATCTAAATTAAAAAAGTAAAATATGTGTGAGACATAATAAGCAAAGCAACGAATTTAAAATTAAGATCAAATTTAACACGACGGGTCAAAAATAATTCTTTTTTAATTTATTATTAACAATAAATATGTGCAAGATTTATTCAACATCCTCAAAACCTATTATTTTTCTTTCGACTATTTCATGTTTTAGTGCTATCTTGCGAGTCGAGAATTCTTATCGCATAAATGGTATATTTTTTGTTATACATACATCGTAAAATATATGACTTTTTAAAAACAGGTCATTTAACTAGCTGTGAGTATAAATTAAAATATCAGTAAGTTTAGTGTTAAACCAATACTTAAAAACATCGTCGAAGACGTCATAAAACTTATGTTTTATGTTGCCAAAAGTTGCCAGCTTGTTCTATCGACTCATATACGTGTTTGTCAATATGAATGTAAAATAATGTAATGTTGGTTTACAAACAAAAAAACTTTAATTATTAAATATAATTTATTATTAGATTTGGGGAGGTTAATAATATCAATCAATGAAACCAGTTGCACTAATAATAAATTATTCCTTCCTTAGAAAACACTTCAGCTAAAAGTATTCAGTACTGAAAGGTTAAAGAAACCAATATAATATAACTAAAATATTATAAATAATTGAATATATATTCCGATCGCTAATGATCGAGTAATTGATGCGACAATAAACTTAACACTTATTTCTATCACAATTTTGTATATACCTATTTCAATCAAAAGGTGTCTTTTAACATCTTTGACACCAAAAGAATAATTCTTCAAAACTAATTTCTATTTAATTTTAATTTCTTATTTTAATATACAAAATAATGAATTATAAATCAATCATTATAAGAATACACAAAAATATATTATATTTCAAGTAAAAAAACGATATAACTAATAATAATAATTCTAATCGAATATTTCAAAAGATATTATTTTAAGATCTTCGATAGAAGAAATTTATTTAAAATAGAGATCACATCAATTTCATTCTGTAATGAAAATAATTCGACAAATAAATTATTCATACTTTAATATGAAAAAAAAAAAAAAAAAATAAAAATTGTGCAAATTTCTAATGATATATATTCCAAGATTACTGCGAATTATGGAAGGAATGATTTTCTATTTTCCCGAAAGATTATTCAGGGCAGGGGATCGATCGAGAGAGAAAGAAAAAAAGAAAGAAAAAAAGAAAGAAGAAAGGAGTAAGAAGAAGGTAAAAAATTAAAAAAAAAAAAAAATAAAAAGAAAAAAGGTACTCCTCGTAGAGGGCTCGTGTTTCGCGCGTACGCACGCACGAGAGGGCCCCTCCACTCGTCTCGCGAGCGTGCTCTCAACACGATCGTTGGAGGTGAACGTGAAGGTGGAAAAGGAGGTGAAGGTGGTTGAGGAGGAGGAGGAGGAGGATCCATGTAGAAAGAAAGAGAGAGAGAGAGGAAAATAAAAAAGAGTGGTGGAAGAAGCGAGTGGCAGTGGCGATGCATCGAGCAGGCAAGCACTAAAACAGTCCTCCGCCACTTGGATGCGTCGTCACGTCGTGTTCTATCTTTCTCGGTGTTCGCAATCAATGATCGAGTTCGCTTTCGATCAGCAGTAGCAGTAGCAGCAGATTTAAAACACATTTTTTTTGTAAATATTCATTCTTTAAAAGAAACATTGGAGAATAAGAAATTACAATTAAAAACCTTACGTAGAAACAAGGATAACAACGACAAATCAGAATTCAGATACGTATGATCGTATAAAGGAGACTCCCCGTTTATGTTGTTTTTGTTTTTTTTTAATATCTTATCTTTCTCTTTTTATAAGAAAAAAAAAAAACGTTTTATCGTTAGCAGTTAACGATCGACGATTAACAGTGACAGTTAACTGTACGATTCTAAACGGAAATGTTAGTCTCCTATTGATGGTAAAAGATATACACGCGTGAAGAATCGCGATCGATAAAAAGAAAGAAAAAGGGAGATAGAAGTAGGACAAAAAGTTGATTAAATAAAGAGAGAATGAGAGATAGATAGTAGTCGTAGTCATTCGAGTGACGAGGAAAATCGATGAAAGGCAAAAATTGTCTATTACTACTACTACTACTACTACTACTACTCGACATCATCGACTCTTCTTCTCATTGAGAAAGGAGAACTTGTTTGGACTCTTTCGATAAGGAGACTCCTCTTTAAAGAAGAAAAAGAAAAAGAAGAAGAAGAAGAAAAGGAAAGAGGAAGTTAAACGGTGCAAGAAGGAATAAAGAAAGATAGAAAAAGAAAAAGAAAAAGATAAGGATAGAGATAAAGAGCAAAATGAGGGAGAGACACGATGGTCCAGATTTCCCATGTGGATCTTGAGATCGAGTAGTAAACGAGCAACAGCAAACTAAAGCAAAGCAAAGCCCGCGCGAAAAAGCTTATTCTCTTCCGCGATCGTTTGCCGACTGTATAGTACTATTTTCCGCTATACCATCGAAGAAATGCATCTGGGGAGTTAATCGATCGCAAACGATAACGGTATACCGATGTATCTCAAGCTTGGATGGCCAACAGTTTTAATCGAAAGACAGGACACGATTCGACGAAAGACGTAATGAGCCGCAGCAACGTTCTCGAACGATGAACTTATTCCATCACAAACCCCCCTCCACTCCCCCAACCCACCCCGTTTCCTCTTCAGATCGTGGATTTTATATGGGAACAAATAAATCAAATGAAATTAAACGATAAATAGATTTCAAATAAAAAAGAAGATCGTATCATCGTCATCATCATCGTCATCATCCTTTTTAAGGAGTGACGAACGATAATTGGATATATATTCCGTTGCAAACGGGATGTACAAATTTGTAGATAACTTATTTATAGTTAAAGAAGAGCGTATCGTTAAATTACACCAAGAGAACTAGGAAATTGAGAAAGGGATGTGGATAACGTTATTTCTTGAATTAGGACTACGAAATTCTGACACGAAGTAGTAGTAGTAGTAGTAGTAGGTAGGTAAGTAAGTAAGTAAGTAGTAGTAAGATTGCATAGTAAGATTGCTAAGAGAGTGAGATAGGTAGAGGGCGTCGAACTTGAAAAGGAAGCCGCGAAATGCTGGCTGATCCGCCTACCGTCTACTACTACTATTTCCACCTTCACCTCCATCACCTCCTCCTCTTCCTCTTCCTCTTCCTCTTCCTCTTCTTCTTCCTCTTACCCAAGTCTTGGATTAAGGAAAAGTAATAAGCCGAAATTCATAGTAGAGATAAGAAAAACTGTATGATGAAAAAGACTATTCTTCGTTTTTGATAACGCGTTATCATCGTGAACGTACGAAGTTGAAGAAGAAGAAGAAGAAGAAGAAGGAGAGAAAACCTAACACATTGAATTTTCTCCTATCACATACGTGAGTCACGTTAAGTGCTAAGCACCTTTTCGATTCCAAACTCGATTCGCGCGTGCACATCGCATTGGGGACGTTGTACCGTTTGATTTCTCCTATTAGACTCAACTTTAATCATCGGTGATATAAAAAGAAACTTTGTTGAGGCCTTGAGTTATATAGAATTTGAAATAAAAATCGATTTTACCTTCTCCAGAGGGACCATCACCATCACGACCACCAGTCGATCAAAATACTCTAGTGCATAGTACAAAAACATATATAAATATATATACAGACACACGTTTGGATATATAGTTCTAATATCGTTCGAGATGTTGAAGATACGTATGTTGGATTACATAGGTGATACTGGGTAAGTTATATTACAAATGAACATTGAATTTTTAGATCAATTTATTAAATATAATTACGTGTTTATTATTTATTTTTTAATAATATGTCAAAGTTGTCGTACGTAAAATAAGCTTTTTTGTTTGGCAAATTAAGTGATCCTTGATAAAAAGGGAATTAACATCGCGTTTAGTTTCGATTCATTGAAGAAGATTCGTCGTTTTAAATCGATGAGAAGATAAAGGATCGTAATTATCGTGTCAACGATATTTCAACGCAGACGCAGCTGGTCGTTCGATCAAAATTACTCTCTTTATCTTTATCTTTCTCTTTCTCTTAGGTGGAAGATTGTAAAACGTTTTAATCGATGCTCCCTTGATAGAAGAGCAGACAGTGGAATCTGATTTATTAAGAATAACAACAGCACACGATGGTAACGCGAAATAAGCACGAGTTAGCGATGAGTTGCGACTCGAAAAGAGGGACGTTCTACTTTGCTTCTTTTTTCTCCTTCTTTAAACTCCTCCTCCTCCTCCTCCTCCTCCTCTTCTCTCTCTCTATCCTTCTCTTTCTCTTATCGACACGAAACAACATAGCGTACCCTCCTTCGAGACTTTTATGCTCTGCTTTTTCCTTACTCATTTCTATCGGCGCGTAACGCGTATCCCCTTTTGGGATTCTACCGTTCGATGATTCGTAAATTTCTCGAAAGAAATTTCTTTTTACGATTTCCATCGAGGTCATTCATTCATTTATTTATTTATTTATCTTTCTTTTTTTTTTCTTTTTTTTTCGAGGCCATTCGATCATTATTTTCATTTTTGACATACATATATATACACCTACATAAAAGAAATATACAATAGAGAGAGAGAGAGAGAGATTCGTACATATGTTTCTCTTCTATAAGAATCCTCTTCTACTGATTATAATCCTTCGAGATTCAACAAACGACGACCTACTTCAATTTATTATTCTTATACATGAAAGTATATATATATATATATAGAATGAGTCTATCGAAATAATTTATATATATATATATATATATATATATATATATAGCATAGTTTTGTAAGAAGGGATGGAAAGTGAGTATGAAATTGTGTTCCTCGCTTTCGTGACCAGAGTATTTTTTTTTTTTTTTTCAGTCATTTTCTTCTTCTTCTTCTTCATTTTCTTTTTTGGCACTAGGTTGCTTTTAAGGTAACCTTTCGATGGATTTGCATACGGAATAAAATTATGATTGGGTAGGCCATTTAACTCGCGAATCGTACTTTTATGTATACGTATATATATATATATATATATATCTTTCTTATATTCTCTGACAACATCATTCTTGGTGGCCACTAGAAACGCATCGTTCGGAATACTAATGAACGTCGACCGAGAAAGCGAGCGAGAGAACAAGACCGATATTCTTTTCCGGTCGGTGCATAAAACGACACGCGGGACACCAAGGCGCCTTGACGTAGATACAATTTGAAACAGAGCTAGAAACATTTCTCTGATGTGAGTGCTCTCACTTTGTGAGTTAATTTTAAAAAATGTGTCCCTTATACACCTACATACACATAAACACACACACACACACACGCATATCTTTTCTCTCTTTTCTTTTACTTTTTTCTTTCTTACTTTTCTTCGAGTCTCTTCTTTGAAACAAAGGTAATCTCTTCTTTATCGATGACATATTAATTAACTCTGACAATAATCGAACTACCTCGGATAGTAATTAAATACTAGGAAAGAATTGTAATTGTGGATAATGATAGGATTTACCTTTGGGTAAGAGTGGTAAGATTAAAAACAATATTAAACAAATAAAAGAGAAAAGAAAATAGAAAAATGAAGATAAATCTTTGTCAAAGATCATTTTATTTCCAGTCTCTTCAACTTTATTCTCATAAATCGATTAAAACGAATCTATTCTATTAGTATTACAATTTTAATGAATAAATAACAAGATCTTAATCGATCGAACGTAAAGATAAAATAATATCTACAGATTTTTTATAAAGATAATTTATATAAATCGATTAGAACGATCAATTAAAATAGAATTAAAATTATAAGTAACAAGTGACAAGATATAATATCAATAAATCATTCGATTATAATCATTTACGAGTTTTAAAACAAAAAAAAAAGACATATGGAAGATATTAATTTTGGTTCGCGTATTAAATTCTAATTGTCATAGTCTTGGATCATAAATCGATAATAACGATCGATAAGAATATTATTTATTCGAAATAACAGTTAAGAAGCGTACGAATTACGCGTTGAGGATCAAAAGAGGTCGACGCTGATTCGTAGCTTATGAAGTCGGTTTCACTCGGTGAAATTTTTCTAAAGTAAGCTAGCTAGCAGTATTTGTTACGCTAGCTGTCTAATATACAATCATATAAATTTTTAGAAAATTTTAAGTTTATCCGTTACATTCTCGAGCTTCCAAACAATTTCAATTCTCGGTAATATGAGACACGTTTGTTTAACTGTGTGTCACTCGCAGATATTTGTTCGGTTTAACTCGCCGTTCCGCAGGAAGTTACGAAAGGAAGCTGACATGAAACAGAAAGAGAAAAAAGAGAGAGAGAGAGAGAGAGAAAGAGAGAGGAAGGTAACCGCAAATCTAACAAGTTGAATACCGCGTAGGCCACCGGTAGCCCACGTCGAACTTTCCATTTATGGTGTAATGGTTATTTTATGTCAAATGAAACGTTATCGTAAAATACTTCGTAATATCTATCAGCTGATACTTAATTATCATATATAACGCAATTATTCATATCGTGGGCCATCGTGTCACGTGGCGTGATGAACACCATTTTTTTTATTCTCGAGAGAATATATTACCTTCAAGTGAATTCCACTTTTTTTTTTTTATTTGCAATTGGTCAATTAATTGGAATAATAGGTTATATTGTTGCGTATCGAAACATTTCATCTTTGGATAGTCCATTGGACTGTTTTGTTGTCTCAAGGGTCATTTATTACTATAGGGAATATATTTACTCTAGAGAAATTTCTTGGATATCTATTAAAACACATAACAAAAAAATACACATTTTAATTAATAATGTATATATATATATATATTATACTCTTATGACGTTGTATTTTATATTATATTATATTATTTAACGATTTGTTTTGTTCATTAATCAGTTTTTGTGCTTTTATAAATGTCACCAATGAATGTGCAATAACGCAAAAGCCATTCATGGTATCCAACGTGTTAATGTGAAAATTAGTGACGGTGAATTCGCTCGAGAATTGAATCGATGCGTGTCGTTGTGCTAGTGGTTTACCACGAGAATGAGTCTCCTTGATTAGGATTCCGAGAATTAGAAATAATTTCGATGACGGTGATTGGAATTGAAATTAATCAATGTTTCAATTTGATCATCATCATCATCATCATCATCATCATCATCTATGTTCGAGGGAAAATAAATTATCATTTCAAGATTGTTATTTCGATTTTAGATTCCGGTCGAGACAAAAAAATTACACACACACACACATATAAAGAGAACAATTAAGAAAATATTTACTTTCTTATAAATACGAAGGTCCATTTTTTTTTGTTTAATGACTAACTTAAAAAAAGAAAATAAAAAAAGAAAGAAAGAGAGAGAGAGAATTGTAGCACAAGGACATGAAACATGTCACGGAACCATAAAAAAAGAAAAAGATACACTTATATCGGTATAGTGTTTCGTTGTCTCGTCTTTCCTTCGTCCAGTAATTATCCATTTCCAACACTTTTCGACATGCGCACTCGAACCGATTTACATACGTGACTAACGGTTTCTCGGTCTTAATAAAAGAGCAAGGAGAAACGATAATAATGTCATTCATATTCAAAGAGAAGCGGAATACGTAATCGTAGCCCCAAAGATTTACATACGCCAAACAAGCTCCATTCTCCACCGAGTTGTGTGTTCCGTAATTAATACTTCGTATGATTAAGAACATTTTTTTGTTAACCTTATATTTTCTTTTCCTTTTTCTTCAATTTTTAAATCGACTTATTTATCTTCTTTTCAATGATTACAAAGTGTTCTTTTGATATACATAAAGTTAAAAAAAGGATCCGAAATTTAAATGGGTTTATAATATTCATTGGGACGAATCTAAAATTCATCTTATTCATACAACAACCAAAATAGATTCTTCAATTAAAACTATTTATTCGTTATATCGACTTTTAGTATTTTAATGATCCAATATATGTGTGTGAACGTCTCGTTATTTTTCTTTTTTTTTTCGACACAGAGAAATATTATTTATAATTAAAGATTTTTATTTTTTTTACATATAAGCGATGAATAACATATAATTGAATGAGTCACAGGGGGAGGAGTATTCGTATCCGCTCCTATTGTAAATTTTAAATAATTCATATTTACTTATATAGTGCACAAAGTTTCACAATTCTTATACACAGAAACCTATTTTATTATATTATTCAATTTTCAAATTGATATAAATTTTATTTTGCAGAAGAACATTTTATTTGTAGAGAAATATAATTTTTTCTTAAATTGATATGCTAATGAAAATTGGTCTTACAAGAGTATTTGTACCTACGCGTATAAGATATAATAAAAATACAATTATTATTTATGTAAGTAATATTTCATTAGCCCTTATTTGTATCTTGTAATACTTTTGAACAAAATTGAGCATATCATATGAGACTTTTTTATAATAAAATTCTTTCTTTAGCAAACAAATTTATATCAATTGAAAAGTTTTATAATCCTGAAATATGTTTCAGTAAATAAGAATTACAAAATATTATATTATATGAAAATATTATTTGTTTTAAATTAACAGTAGAAATATGTGAATACTCCTGTGACTCATTGAATGTTTTCCCATTGATAAAACTATATAAACGAAATGCATAGTTAATATATTAATATATTTTGTAAATAATAAATAATAATTATAAAAAGTGTGAAAGTAAATTTTATTGAATTAAATTAATACCGAAGATTTATTCAT